TTCGGCAATGAATTTTATTGTATTCATCGTTAGACCTATATATCGAGCCTTAATGACGATAAAAACTCTTGAGCGTTGATTATATCTAACATAGATAGCGAGAACAATAATCCTGATTTTTTTTAAAGCTACTCGTCGTTTAAATATTTTAATTAATTATTAAGATAAAAATTTGTATCTAACGATAGAAAATAATTTTCTGGTAAACTGTAATAGCTTTTTATAGCAAAATTGCATTTGTGTAGCTGCAAATCTTTATCTGTTTCTTGGAATCAATTATTATACATGTATTAAAAAGTTTCTTAATTTGCAAACAATTTTTACAAAACTTTTATGCAAATATATTTAATTATTTATGACTTTGCAAAAATAAAACAAGCGACAAGTATTTCAACTTCATGAAATCGCCACTCTAAATATACTCAATCTGAAATTCCGCTACCCCCAATACGGTCAGTCCATAAACACATCGATGATTCCCCGAGAACTAGATGATTGCTCTCGCCATACTTAGCCATACACGCGTATCTTCTCAACACGCGCGACTATTTCGGGAAGGCGACGTTAAATAAAAATGAAAAAGTTGGCCCGAAAACGACAGAAAAGTCGAGAGGAAACTTTTCGCCAACGAGGCGATAAAACTTTCCCACTCACCCTTGAGTTCCATGTCCGTGACCTGGTTCGCCTTGTAAGTGGTTGTCTCCCTGCGGTCGCCGACGATGAAGTAAATATTGATGTACTCCTCGTTGTCGTTGCTGCCGGTTCCGTTCCTCGCCTCGTGGTCCATGGCCACGCGAATAGTTTCGGCCTTGAACCGCCAGCCGCTCCTCGTCGCTCGGCCTCGTTGATGCAGTTCTCGAGACTACCCGGCCTTGCTATTACGCGGGGCTGCCGAGGCACAAAGGTAAGAGACTTAGACACGTAGAGACCACTCGCACTAACAACGCTCTTTCGCCATTCGTCACGATTCTGTAGATCACGTCGCGCAATACACGAGGAAGAGGCGATATTATTTCGCACATGTTCGATGCTTTCGCACTCGTGATTATACTCGTTTCGTTTCGTTACTTTCCCTTTATTACATAAAAATCGAAAGGATAAATGGATCAATAAGATATGCCACGTCGATAATAACTCAAGGTTGTGGCGATTTAAAGTTTGACATATATAATCAACGTGATGCTCCACCTTACAAGGAATAGCTTTCGCTCCAAACGAGATAAAAAAAAATGACAATTTATTCGAGGATAAGTTAATTTTCACAAAAACGCGATATTTCCTTCAATCGTTTAAAAAATATCAATATTAATAACATTTACTAAAAATAATTTCTCCAAGTATGATTTGATTTTTATAAAAAAATCAAAAATACATATTTTTCAATCAACTAACATATCAGTTTACGAAACAAACAAAAAATTATCTAGAGGAGTAGAATAATTTTACAAGAAAATATAGTGGAAAAAAATTTTTGCCTGAGAAAATGGATCGTCAATTATTTGAAAGTTCTTCCAAGAAAAAACTTCTGTTACGAAATCGCAACCATAAGATCAAGAGCGAAGAAAGAGAGAGAAAAAAAAAAGAGTAATGAAACGAGATATCTTCGAGAACGAAAAATAAGTGCACGTCGATGATAAAAAGGCCATCTTACCTTTGGTCGGGTGTGGAGGGGTAGCAGCACCCTCGGCGAGCTCATCGTCGCATCGCCAGCCCGGCGGCGGCAACAACCGGGCCACCCTCGATTATCGCACCTGTCGAGCTCGTGTCTGCCGTCACACACGACACCTGCCACTTGCTTCGAGATTGGATATACCGGGAATGCGTCGACAACGGCGACCGATGATAGGCTGCGAGCGTGGCCGACCACTCGTCTACTACCAGCCGACACTGCGTTTCCTCATGGTCCATCCTGCGACAGGGAGATCCAGTGTGATTGGCTTCGGTAACGGGAATATCATTGTGTACGGTATCATTGACAACTCTCAATTTACGATTCTCTTGGAACGAAAGATAAATCCGGGATTTCAACTGGGATTCAATAATTAACGAGACAGCGGAATCAGAAATGACAACGATCTTTTGTTCGTAGAAATTTAATGCATATTAATGCATACTTTTTTCTTTTCTCTTATATTCTTATATATATATATATATATATATTATGTGTATGTGTGTGTGTGTCTGTGTGTATATACACACACACACACACACACACACACATACACACACTGCGTACTTAGCTATGCTCATTAAAGTTGCATTAGAATTTAATGTTGGAAATTTAAATCAAAAGCAAATAGGCTTTTGCAAATCAAGTATTAAATTGTGCACGGAGTTTCTCGATAATTTTGCCGACAACGTTGGCGTAAGGATCGATGTGTTAGTGTGCGAAATTTCAGATAAGCGTTCACCCAGAGCAGGATGCGCACCTGCGTCAAGATACGAAATGTGTTTATCGCTTTGGACTTGGCGCAGAGCGAAAGTGTTCTGATTACAGGGTACGTCGCGAACTTTTTCCGACAACGGTATGCAAAATACGGGTTACACTGTGTAATCGCTGCCGTGCCGGAGTTATGCACAAAGTGAAGTGCATTTATCGTGAGAACTAGCAGCGAAATTCGACAAGCCTTCTAAAAGCCACATTGCGAGTCAAGCGCTAAACGATTCGCTTTTCGACTTTTATTCGTGTCTAACAAAAGCTAAAAATTAAGCGTTACTACGAATCGTATTACGAATACCGAGCACACGACTAACGAACAGTTTATTACACACATTTTTCATAATCAATTGTCAATTCGTCTCCCCTGTCGCGAAGAAAAATTTGAAAAATTTGAAAACTTACAAGAAACATAGTTCACTTTTCTAGTTAAGTGACGCCATCAGGTTGGCCTTCCGTAGGAGCGTCTTCCGACAATATATTTCTATCCAAGATTAAGGGAAGCATTTTCAGGATTTCATGGTAACGAGAGTGAAAAAGCCACGAAAAATGTGCGATTTTTTTTCCGAGAAGATGCCTTCGTGTCTCGGGGGAACGAATAATCGCTGTCAGAATTCCTCGTGACGCGAAAGCGGGAGGGAGAACTTTCGATTCTCGGGGAAAAATCCTCATCCCTTCGACCGCCTATCTGTTTCCTCTCGTCGCGCCTGCCACGCCCAGGTAGAACTCGGGAGCGTGAGAAATTTACGATTTCTTTGCCCAAGGTCGCCGGTGGAAATTAAAAGCCGCGATATAGCCGATGCCACCCTTGGCACTTACCACCCTGAACTACGTCAGACGTCGCCTCGAAAGGAGAAGACGTACGAGGGCCGCCGTAAATTTATGACATCTTCGTGAATTTGCCGTGAACTTCGTTTCTTTATCGCACCCGTATTGCTATGGGATATTAAAACTAGGTTGGTAACGTCAGGAGCAGATATCGATTTTTCCCATTAAGTATGCGAGCTATCTCGGCAGATGTTTACCGAAAATATCAGGGGCGTGTGGCTAAATAATCTGGAATCAACATATCTCTTTAAATACATATATAAGATATTTACTTTGAAATCGACTTTAATTCTGAATATAATTAAGGAAGTTACATTAATTCTTTTTTGGAAACTGAAATTTCAGATGACAGCGAAATCTTGATTGTAAAATGAACACAAATTCAAATGAGATTTCGTAATGGAGATAAGGGACTCGTTTTTAAGGGAAATAATCAGCAATCTTTAGAGTCACGTGTTGATGTTCAACGGTGAATTATTGATTGAGTAAGTTTACAGCCGTCTTCCACTCTCAAATATCTCGAGAGTATATACGAGGTGTAAAAAGGCGTAAGGGGTAGTCGAAAGGGAGTAATCATTCCTCAGCAAAGTGGCTAACTATGACGCGCAATATCCGCGCGAGACTTTAGACTTCAGCTTTCAGCAAATTTCCACTCTCTGAGGCGAGCCGAGTCAGCGAAGAAGAAGATCGTAGCGTCTAATTGGATCAGTATCAAATGCTTTTTTCCTTGAAGAAAGCGCAAAAAACAGGCTAATAACGTGTCACCAATTTCCGCTTTGCTGGTTACAATTGTGATAATTTGCGGTATAATAATAATAAATCGCTCATTAGACGCGTTAAAAATGTTATTTAATTAAACGGTTAAAAATATAATAAATACAAACACGCAGCGAAAAGCATCGAAATTATTAATCGAAATAATCACTCGAGGATTATAGTATGGACTATATCACAAACGTTTTAGTTCGAGTACCTTTTTTTAAATGCCAACACTGCAATTTTTTTATATATGTATGAATTTTTCTGAAATTTATATTTTTATGAATCAATGAATGTACATTCCATACATCTGGACTTTATCAACATGTGTGTGTGTGTGTGTGTGTGTGTGTGTGTGTGTGTGTGTGTGTGTGTGTGTGTGTGTGTGTGTGTGTGTGAATCTATCTATCTTTCATAAATGTAATACGTACGAGGGAGAAATCAAATTTAGATTAATTTGTTTGTACGTAAAGTTATGCATGACGCACAGTATGCGTACGTAAAATTATGCATGGTGCACAAATAAACACTTCAATTCGTATCTGAAGTCCCATCGTAACGTTATCGCTACGCTTTCTTTATACGGTAATCTTTTCCA